TGTGGATGTATGTATACTCCAAAGACTGCAGCTCTCGAAGGCAACTTAACCCCATGTTCTCAAGAGCAATTGGAAATGTCCAGCATTTTTTTGTCCTAGCTAGCAACACTCACATCTCATGACTGAATAAAGACAAAGCTGATGCACTGAGGCAAAGAAATACAATGTGTTCACTACTTTGATCCAGAGTACAAGGGGCAGACTGAAAATCTGCTCAATGCTGAAAAGAAATGAAAGGTAATCTGATATGCATCTTCATATGTTCAAACTCACATAACTGGAAAAAAAGCAAAAATACAACAAATGTGGTTGGGCTGATCCTTTCCTTATTAGGGAGGGTTTGGAGCTCTTCAGTTTGTAGCTACACAGCAATCAGATCAATAACAATGCATCTTTGGAGCTGTTGTTTATCACAAAGTTTTACATATTCAGAAAGAGGCATGTAACAAGCTCTATCTTAAATTTTCCTAGTGGTCTATCATCAGCTAGAGAGTAACATAGGGAAAAAACTTACTATATATACATGTCTTAGTAAAGTGCCTGGACCAGCAGATATTTAAGTTATTCTGTACAGTACAAAATAAATAACATTAATTTAATGCAAATAAACATTCTGAAGTCAAAAATTAATACCAACCATTGAGCAGAAATGGGATTTTGCAAATGAATTAGTAGACTAAAAATTACATGATTTTCCACAAATTCCCAGTGACAATGAAATATATTTAATTGCACTACTAAAACAGCAGCTGCCAATGACAAGATAAGAAACTAAGTGTGCAATTGAGGGAGGCCTCGTGGAGAAACAGGACAGGAAGAAAATCTTTTAAAAATGTACTGTTCTGACAGGCTTCCAAATTCTTAAAAAGGACAGAAATCAATTATTAATATTATAAACAGGAAGTGCTGGAGAAACTCAGCAGGTCTGGCAGTATTTGTGGATAGAGAAACAAAATTACCTTTTTTCAGTCTTCCTTGGAACTCAAGGGGCTGAGACTAACTATCCCCTCACTCATGCTCCAATTCAAAATGGTGACCAATTAATTTGTGTAAAGCAGCTGAAAAAAGAAAATGGAATGATGACAGTGTTTAAGAGTTTTTCTCTCTGTTGGGTCTCCTCTGACAACTCAGTGGCTAAATACACCATGCAGTGATTAGACTTGGATTCAACCCCTTGATCTAGGTTAACATTGTGGAGTTGCTAAACAAGCCTGAAAAGTTCCTACAGTAGAAACATAAATAAAATCACTGAATGCTGTAACCCCGACTATCTAATTGCCGATGCTTGCATGAATCATTATTTGGACATTAGACAAAAAGAAACTACATCTCAGTTATCCTTCCTATGCTGAGTAGTGTGACGTTCTCTTTTTTTGTTATTCACTCATGGAATGTGGGTGTCACTTGTTGGCCAGCATTTATTGCCTGTCACGAGTTGAGAAGATTGTGGTGAGCTGCCTGCTTGAACCACTGCAGTTCACATGCTGTAGGTTGATCCACAATGTCCTTAGGGAGGCAATTCCAGGGCTTTGATCCAGTGACATGGAAAGAATGACAATATATTTCCAAGTCAGGATGGTGACTGGTTTGGTGGGGAACTTGCAGATGGTGGTGTTCTCATGTATACGTTGCTCCTGTCTTTCTAGGTGGAAGTTGCCGTGGGTTTGAAAGGCACTGTCTAAGAATCTTCAGTGAATATTTGCAAAGCATCTTGTAGATGGCACACACTGCTGCTAGTAAGCGTTGGTGATGGAGGGAATGGATGTTTGTGGATGTTGTGCCAATCAAGGAGGCTGCATTGTCCTAGATAGTGTCAAACTTCTTGAGTAGTATTGGAGCAGCACCCATCCAGGCAAGTGAGGAGTATTCCATCACACTCCTGACGCTTGATGGGCTTTGGGGAGTCAGGTGGTGAATTTACTCGCCACAGCAGTTCTAGCCTCTGGCCTGTTTTTATAGCCACTGTGCAAATGTGGGGCGTGCAGTTCAGTTTCTGGTCAATAGTAACCCCCAAAATATTGATAGTGGGGGAAATCAGTGATGGTAACACCTTTGAATGTCAAGGGGCAATGGTTAGATAATCTCTTATTGGAGATGGTCATTGCCTGGCATTCATGTGACACGAATATTACTTGCTACCTGTCTGCCCAAGCCTGGATATTGTCCAGAACTTGATGCATTTAAACATGGACTACTTCAGTATCTGAGGAGTCATGAATGGTGTCGAACATCAAGCAATCATTGGCGAACATCCCCATTTCTAAGCTCATGTTGGAGGAAAAGTCATTGATGAAGCAGTTGATGATGGTTAGGTCTAGGACACTATCCTGGACACACCTGCAGAGATGTCCTGGAGCTGAGGTGACTGACCTCCAACAACCATAACCAGCTTCCTATGTGCCAACTAGGACTCCAGACAGCAGACAGTTTGCCCCTTGATATCCATTAATTGCATGTTGCTATGGCTCCTTGATGCCACATTTGGTCAAATGTGGCCTTGATGTCAAGGACTGTCACTCTCACGTCACCTCTGGAATTCAGCTCTTTTGTCCATGTTTGAACCAAGGCTATAATGAGGTCAGGAGCTGAGAGGGCCTGGCGGAACCTAAACAGAACGTCACTTGAGTTGGAATTAAAGGATGCCAATTAGAGCAATGGACTCAAAATACCCCAGTGCCAATTAATCCAAATGTCACTGAATTTTTAAATTCTAACTTGCTTTTTTATTTACAATTCATGCTTAGGTCTTGTGGTAGTTAAATTGCCTCTGAGTTTGAAGCTCCAAAATTCAAGTCCTACTCCAGGACTTAACAACCAAGGAAGACACATTCATAATGATTTTTGGTTAGCCACATAACGGAAAGAAATCAGATGTACTAACACCATTATCACTAGCCCAGTTACAACCTCAGCATAAAAGCCTATGGGACACCACAGAAAACTGGGCCCCTTTTTTTGGGAGGTGGTGGATATTGGTGCTTGACTCAGTTGGTTGTACAGCCAGCGTTGATCAGACTGGTGCAACAAGCCAGATTCAATTCCTGTTCCAACTGGAATGCATTCAAGACCTGCCTCCTTACCCTATCCATCGTGGACATCTTGACGCTGTGCTTTGGCCCTACCTTCAGACAGGGAATTCAAGAAGAATACATATCATAGGGAATGAGTTTAGCTGCTTTCAGCAAAGATTCACAGAACCTTTAGGAATCCCTGTAAAGAAATGTGGCCATAATGAAGGGTTATAGAGCAAAAGAGTTGTTTTCCTATAAATAATAGCTTAAAAATTTAAAAGGATTACTTGTTGTATAAGCATAAATGTTGTTCACAATGCCCAACCACAGAACTCTAAGTACAGATTTGTGCTTTCCTGCAGGAGTTAGCAAGATCCCTGATAAGGAACACACTTGGAAATACCATATTGTTTTCTGCACTGTCACAAAAGACAACAGAGTATACAACTGGATAAAATGAGTTTAAAGTGGTAACGCTGGACCGCTTGCAGCTGCAATTTTTAATCCTAGAACCATGTTATATTCTTAAAATGTAAAATTTTGACGAATGAAAAGTTGACAACCACAAGTCTAGGCTTTTCCAGAATCAATGAGGCTCATAGCATACATTGTACTTTTCATTACATAAATATGTTTAAATTCAGAATTTCTACTTAAAACAATGATCAAAACAAAAGTTGGAATATAAACAGCATATTCTAATTACAGTCAACATACTATTGCTCTAGACATTAGTTATGTAGCCCAAACTATCTTATAAATAGTGTGCACACATTAGATTTTCAGATTTCCTGAACTCACTTAGGCAATTCTCACAAGATAAAGATTTGACTGCTGACACTCAGAAGCCAATTTTCTACCTAACTGGGACAGTCATCTTGCTAACTATTCCCTCTAAGTATTAAGTCAAATGCTACCTCATTAACTGATGGTTATCCTACTAAAATTTCAAACTAATTCTCCATTAAAAACAAGATATAATTTTCTCTTTTTCATAGAACTTAACATTGTGATTACTACTTCCATCTGACATGAATTGTATACCTTATTCTTCAGTAAACTACTACATATTTTAGAATTTATATTGCTTCACATATTGTCTTTTGTGTAGCTGACTTGAAAACTCAACTCTGTACTCTAGAGTACATTGCTGAAGGAGTAGACCAGATTGTAATAATATTTAGGGTGTTATAATGTTTTATGCATGTTAAAAAAGCTATCCAGATGATGCTAATATGCTCAGTGGCTCTTGTCCTTTGGGAAGTGATTGATCATTTACACCCAGTACAGTAGTTTCGTGTCTTTAGGATAATTTTCTCAATCGAAAGTTGAGGGGAATCACCAGAGATACTTCTAATCTGGGACTCACTCAAAAAGGGATGAGGATCATAATCTACTATGCAAGTAGTTATATGACTGGGGCAAGGTGGACAAAATATAATATCGTAATAAAGCACTGATGGAAAGAATCAGTACACTCCGGCACTCGGTAATGACATTTAACTTAAGAAAGTAATCTAAAAAAAATTTGTAACTTTGATGCGATTAAAAAAATCTTAATTCCTTTCAGAAACGTAAGAGAGTATGATGTGATAGCAAGTAGTATATTTGGAATTATGTTCAATGGCATATCTAGTTATTGTGAAAGCTGTTTACTCCCAAATAAAAAACTGACAAAATTAACAATTAGGATTCCAATATATGGACCGAGCAAATTATTTAAAGGGAGTAATTAACAATAAGCCAAAACTCAAATAATATTGTTTAAACTTAAAATATTCAGATAGGATTTCAGGCAAATGATTAAATTCCATCCATTAAACTTTCTAATTCAAAAAGGCTGAAAGCGTTTTCTAGGTTTCTAGTTTAGCTACTGGTTTCTAAGAATCTCAGGATCACAATTTTATTTTAGCAGATTCTTTAAAAATCTACCGATTTTGGATTTATTTGACCATACTCAGCCTTCCAGAAAATTAAGTGAGATCCTACCTGGTGACATTGCATCTGGTGTCAATCAGATCATTTTCCACATCCAGAAGGCCAGGGGGAAATCTACATTCTACAGACGTCAGCCTCTTCAAGCGTAAAAGGCCAAGACAGAATTTAGCTCCCATCTCTTCTAGTTCTCTTGTCCCCATCTGTTGCCCCTTTAGAACAAAATACATGGAATGAATACACAGCACTTGTAGATTTTATGAAGGTATATTGCAACTAGTATAAGAATGTAAAATTTTATCACTCTTACATGGAGACTCCTTTATGACGAGATCATTAATTACTTTGGTTTTATTGCATGTTACCAGGTATAAATAACCTGTTGTTTCACTGATTTCAGAATGTATTGCTCTAAGAAGCTGTCTGAACGCACATGAACTTGTTCTTAATGCTATCGTTCCCAATTTGACTTATCCAAACTACTGAAGATTAAAATTATTCACAGAAACACAGAAAATTAAGAGCAGGAGCAGGCCATTTTGCCCTTTTAGCCTTCTCTGACATTCAAGATGATTCTAGCTGATCATACAAATCAGTATCTTGTTCTCACTCACAAACAAAAACAGATGTTGCTGGAAAAGCACAGCAAGTCTGGCAGCATCTGTGCAAAGAAATCAGAGTTATCGTTTCAGGTCCGGTGACCCTTCCTCGGAACCGATGGTAGCGAGGAAAATGTTGGTTTATATGCAGAAGGCAGGGTGTGGGGAGGGGGTAAGGAGTAAGTGATAGTTGGGGATAGATGCAAAGAGAGAGAAGAACAGTCGGACAGACAAGGGAGTGAATAACAATCTGGTTAGGAGAATGAATAGCTGTTAATGCAGACTGTTCGTGGCTAACAGTTGTGTAATGAAAAATTATGCGATAACAAGGCCTGGTGTGAGAGGGTGAGGGCTAGGACATAGAACAGTACAGCACAGTACAGTACAGGCCCTTCGGCCCACGACGTTGTGCTGAACTTTTACCCTAAACCTAAGGTCTATCTAACCTCCACCCACCTTGTACTATCATCCATATGCCTATCTAATAGCCGCTTAAATGCCCCGAATGAGGCCGACTCCACTACCCGTTCCGGCAATGCATTCCATGCCCCTACCATTCTCTGAGTAAAGAACCTACCTCTGACATCTCCCCTATATCTACATCCACTCACTTTAAAACTATGCCCCCTTATAACAGCTACCTCCACCCTAGGAAAAAGTCTCTGGCTGTCCACTCTATCTATACCTCTGATCATTTTGTACACCTCTACCAAGTCACCTCTCATCCTTTGTCGTTCTAAAGAGAAAAGCCCCAGCTCTCTCAACCTTTCCTCGTAAGACCTTCCCTCCATTCCAGGCAACATCCTGGTAAATCTCCTCTGCACCTTTTCCAACGCTTCCACATCTTTCGTGTAATGAGGCGACCAGAACTGGACACAATACTCCAGATGTGGCCAAACCAGGCTTTTGTAGCTGGAGCATAACTTCGCGGCTCTTGAACTCAGTCCATCTATTAATGAAAGCTAACACACCATATGCCTTCTTAACAACTCTATCCACCTGGACGGCAGCTTTCAGGGAACTGTGGACATGAACCCCAAGATCCCTCTGCTCCTCCACACTGCTAAGAATCTTCCTGTTAACCCTGTATTCTGCTTTCAAATTTGTCCTTCCAAAATGAATCACCTCACACTTTTCAGGGTTAAACTCCATCTGCCACTTCTCAGCCCAGCTCTGCATCCTATCAATGTCCCTTTGTAACCTAGAACAGCCCTCCGCACTATCCGCAACTCGACCCAACTTTGTATCATCCGCCAACTTACGAATCCACCCTTCCACTCCTACATCCAAATCATTTACATAAATCACAAATAGAAGAGGACCCAGAACTGATCCTGGTGGTACGCCACTCGTAACTGAGCACCATGTTGAATATTTTCCATCCATTACCACCCTTTGTCTTCTCAGGGTCAGCCAATTCTGAATCCAATCTGCCACATTTCCCCCTATCCCATGCCTCCTTACTTTCTGCATGAGCCTACCATGGGGAACCTTATCAAATGCCTTACTTAAATCCATGTATACCACATCCACTGCTCTACCTTCATCCACATGTTTGGTCACCTCTTCAAAGAATTCAATAAGGTTTGTGAGGCATGATCTACCCCTCACAAATCCATGCTGACTATCACGAATCAAACTGTGCCTATCCAAGTGATCATAAATCCTATCTCTCAGAGCCCTTTCCAATAATTTGCCCACCACTGAAGTAAGATGAACTGGCCTGTAATTTCCGGGGTTATCCCTGTTCCCTTTTTTGAACAAGGGAATGACATTTGCCACTCGCCAATCTTCTGGCACTATTACCCATGGACAGTGAGGACGAAAAGATCATCACCAAAGGCCCTGTGATCTCTTCCCTCGCTTCCCATAGAATCCTTGGATAAATCCCATCAGGCCCGGGGGACTTATCTATCTTCAAGTTCCTCAAAATTCCTAGTACATCTTCCTTACTGACATCAACCTCCTCTAGCCTACCAGCCTGGTTCACACTGTCCTCCCCTACAACTAGGTCCCTCTCAGTTGTGAATACCGAAGAAAAGTATTCATTAAGGACCTCTCCTATATCTTTAGGCTCCGTGCACAAATTTCCTTTACAATCCTTGATTGGCCCTACCCTTTCTCTGGTCATTCTCTTATTTCTCACGTGCATGTAAAAAGCCTTCGGGTTTTCCTTGATCCTATCTGCCAAGGTTTTCTCATGCCCCCTTATAGCTCTCCTAAGCCGTTTCTTCAGCTCTTTCCTGGCTAACTTGTAACCCTCTAGAGCCTTTTCTGATCCTTGTTTCCTAAACCTTATATAAGCATCCTTCCTCCTCTTAACCAGTCATTCGACTTCTCTCGAAAACCAAGGCTCCCTCACTCGACCGCATCTTCTCTGCCTGCTAGGGACAAACATATCGAGCACACGCAGTATGCATTCCTTAAACAATCTCCACATTTCTATAGTGCTCTTCACTGACAGCATCTGTTCCCATTTTATGTTACCCAGTTCTTGCCTAACAGAATTAGAATTACACTTGCCCCAATTATAAACCTTACCCTGCTGTATGTACCTATCCTTTTCCATGACTATTGTAAAAGTAACAGAGTTATGATCGCTGCTGCCAAAATGCTCTCCTACCAACAGGTCTAACACTTGGCCCGGTTCATTGCCAAGCACCAAATCCAAAGTGGCCTCTCCTCGTGTTGGTCTACCCATGTACTGTGTCAGGAATCTTTCCTGAATGCACTGGACAAAATCCGCTCCATCTAAACTAGTACAACTAAAATGTTTCCAATCAATATTTGGAAAGTTGAAATCACCCATGACTACAACCCTGTGACTTCTGCACCTTTCCAGTATCTGCCTCCCAATCTGCTCCTCCACTTCTCTGCAACTATTAGCGGGTCTGTAAAAAAAACCCCAAAAAAGTGACTGGTCTTTTCTTGTTCCTGACCTCAACCCAAACTGACTCTGCAGACATTTTATTCTTGAACTGCCTTTCAGTAGCTCCTCTCCTAGTCCTGACTAGCAATGCCACTCCCTTGCCTCTTTTACCACCGTCCTTATTTCTTTTAAAGCATCTAAATCCCGGAACTTCCAACAACCATTCCTATCCCCGAGTTACCCAAGTTTCTGTCATGGCCACAACATCGTGGATCCAAGTACTGATCCATGCTCTAAGTTCATCCGCCTTATTTCTGATACTTCTAGCATTGAAATATACACACTTCAAACCATCCCTGTGTCTGCAATTTCGCTCCATCGACCGCATTTCTTTATTAACAACCTCACTCCCTGTTGTGTCTGTTAGAAGGCTGAATATCTCATCCTCTGAATTACAAATCCGGTTCCCCACCCCCTGCCAATCTAGTTTAAACCATCCCGTATAGCTCAAGCAAAACCCCCTCCCAGGGTATTTGTGCCCTTCTGGTTCAGGTGCAACCTGTCCTTACTGTACAGGTCTCACCTTCCCCAGAATGTGCTCCAATTATCCACATAATGGAAGCCGTCCCTCCTACACCAGCCCTGTAGCCACGTGTTTAGCTGCACTCTCTCCTTATTTCTTACCTCGTTATCATGTGGCACTGGTAGTAAATCAGAGATAACTACCCTGTTTGTCCTGGACTTCCAATCTAACTCCCTGTACTCGTTTTTCACATTCTCAGTCCTTTTTCTACCTGTGTCATTGGGACCGATGTGTACCATGACTGCTGGTTGCTCACCCTCCCCCTTAGGGATCTTGAAGATACGATCCGAGACGTCACGGACCCTGGCACCCGGGAGGCAACATACCATTCATTCGTCTCGTTCGCGTCCACAGAACCGCCTGTCTGTGCCTCTTACTATTGAATCCCCCACTACAATTGCTCTCCTATTCTCCCCCTTTCCCTTCTGTGCCACAGGGCCAGGCTCAGTGCCAGAGACCTGTTCGCTATGGCCTTCCCCTGGTAGGTCATCCCCACCAACAGTCTCCAAAACGGTATACTTATTATTGAGGGGAACGGCCACAGGGATCCCTGCACTGTCTGCCTATTCCCTTTCCCCCTCCTGACAGTCACCCAGGTACCTTTTTCCTGTACCCTGGGTGTGACCACCTCCTTATAAATCCTCTCTATCACCCCCTCAGCCTCCCGAATGATCCGGAGTTCATCCAGCTCCAGCTCCACTTCCCTAACATGGTCTTTGAGGAGATGGGAGAGTTCAAGCCCTAAAATTATTGAACTGGATATTGAGTCCGGAGGGCTTCAGGCTCCCCAAGCTGAAAATGTGGTGTTTTTCTTCCAGCTTGCGCTGAGCTTTGCTGGATGCTACAGCAGGCCTGAGACAGTGATGCTGACCAGGGAGTAGGTTGATGTATTCAAGTGGCAAGCAACTGGAAGCTCAGGGTCTTTTTTGCAGACAGAACGTAGATGTTCTGAGAAGCAGTCCCCCAGTCTACGCATCTTTTTGAGGAAAGAAAAAGGCTACAGAAAGGGTCAGACAAAGAAAGAGGCTGCAATGAGGTGAGGGGGAGGCTGCAAAATTGTAGGATGAGAGGGGAAGGCTGCAATGAGGATGGGAAGAGGGAGAGAAAATGGCTGAAAGGGAGTTGTGGTGGAGGGGAGAGAGGGAGGCAGCAAGGGGGTCAGTGAAATTGGAAGACTGCAAGGGGACTGGGGAGACAATGCAGCTACAAGAGGTTGGCAGCAAAGGGTGAAGCTGAAGGGATGGGAGGAGAGGAGAGGGATGTTGAGTGAGAGGAAGATTAGGAAGATTGCAAAGATTGTGAAGTAAAAGCTACTGGGGTTGGGAAGAAAAAGGATGCAATGATGGGGCTGGGGAAGGAGATAGACGATGGCTGTAAAAAAGACAGAACAGGGTTGAAAGTGGTCAATAAAGGAATGCTCTGCTATTTAAGAGCCTAGAAAACTTGAAATCACTGAGGTAAGGAATTCGTTGCAAATGAATGTGGAATCTCTACTTTGAGGTTGATATGTTTAGGAGCTACGACATTAAATGCAATGGATGTTTCAATTGCAATGACACTGTGTCAAATATTAAATATAATTCTGAGATTTTGACCTGACATGCAATAAAAGGGGAGTAACTGCCTTGCTGAAATTGTCCAACTTTGTGCATATGTGATGGAAATGCATTATCTATGATCTCACTAGTCAACAGAAGATGTGTTTAGTGTCATGGCTTTTTGTGCATAGGAATGTGAATCAGTGACTTTAAAAGAACTACTGCTGCTAATGAATACCTGTTGTCTTGGGCCAATTTGAATACTATGGTGTCTAAGAAATTAATGTGTGTTGTGGCTTTAAGTCTAATGGAGATTTGATAATTATTGAAAATATTAATAAATTCTTCTAACTCTGCTGTGAATGTTCAAATACCACGTATGTCAACTCAAGTACAAAAGGTACTGTCACTATGAGGCTATCAGCTAATAAGTAAGTTAGCGATGAGGAAAACATTGCTTGAAAGCCAAAAAGCAACCCCCAAAAATCAAAAAGACAGCCCTTGAGAAAATCTCCAGATGAGCCCTGAAAATTATTTTGTGCTGAGGCTGGCATTTATTGTTCATGCCTAATTGCCCTTGAGAAGATGGTGACGAGCCACCTTGTTTAATGGTTGCAGTCCTTGGGGTATAAGTAGACGACAGTGCTGCTAGGAAAGGAGTTCTTTCATTTTGAAACAGCGACAGTGAAGGAACGGTGATATACTTTCAAGTCAGGATAGTGTGTGGTTTGGAGGGGTAATTGCAGTGTTCCCTATATCCGCTGCACTTGCCATTCTAAGTTGTAAAGGCTGCAGATTTAGAAGATGTTGTCAAGATAGCTTTGGTGAGTTGCAGCAATGCACCTTGTATGCTGTGAAAACTGGTGTCAATATGTGTCTGTGGTGGACAAAGTGAAGTGGAAGGTAGTAACTGGGGAAACAATCAATTGACCTGCTATGTTCTGGCAAGTGTCACGCTTCTTGAGCAACTGGGGCTGCACCTAAAATTGAAGAATTGAGTCTTGTAGACAGTAGACAGGCTTTGGGGAATCAGGAGGCGATTACTTGCTACAAAATTCCTAGCCTCTGACTGGGTCTTGTAGCCACGATTTATATAGCTGGCCCAGTTCAGTTTCAGGTCAATAGTAACTCCCAAGATATTGATACTGGAGGATTCAGTGACTGTATAATGTCATAATTAGATTCTCTCTTGGTTGATATGATCATTGCCTGACACCTGTAGGGCTGGATATTGTCCAGATCTTACTGGATATGGGTTTGGACTGTTTTCATATCTGAAGAGTCATGAATGATGCTGAACATTGTGCAATCATCAAGAACAACCCCATTTGCAACCTTTAAAGGATGGAAGTACATTGAAGATGGTTCAGCTTTGGACAGTACACTGAGGAACATTTGTACCAATGTACTCCGACTGGGATGATGGAATTCCAACAACCAGAACCAGCTTGCCCTGTACTAATACGATTCCAAACTGTGAAGAGCTTTCACCCTATTCCTATTCACTTCAGAGCTGCTAAGGCTCCTTGATGCCGTTTTCACTCAAATAAAATCTTGATACATCTTAATCTTGCATGCCAAGAATATTTCTCATTGTTCTCATCCTTTACGAAAGGGCTTCCCCACCGCCACAGTTTCCTTTCTTAGTGTTCTTTCAAAATGTCAAGTATCCCTGAATACTTAGTTCCAGGCCCAGTCACCTCCTGAGCACATCTTTACAATGACTCCCAGATCAGATCCCCATTTCTTTCTACTGGTCCTATCAGTTCAAATTGCTACAAATACTGTGTGTATTCAGATACTTCAGAGTTTGAAAGGACCAGAAAGCCAATGCAGCACTACTACTTTGCACTGTGTTTCACCCTATACATCATAAAAAGTCAGACCATCTAAATTGTTCTATTTACTGATCATTATCATCATTGGATGGATGGTGAGGAAAGAGAAAAATTCTGATAATTTCTGTGATATATTGCAGAATACATAAATAAGATTGCAACAACTTAGAAATTAAAGTGAAATCAAAACAAAACAATTAACAAATATTTCATCATAAAATACAAATTTTCCTAAGCTCAGATAAGTAACTATATTTCACAGGTAAGGGAATACAATCCAATAGTCAGGGAGAACAACATCACTTCTTGTTTGAAAATATCTCTGGATTATTTAAACACAATAGACCACAATAATTAATTTCCAAATTGATTGAAAAAATTCCTAAAGAGTGGGAAAAGCTAACAAAAAAACTCTAGGGTTCCAGTAACACCTTCCTGTAATGGTATGTATTGTCTTATCTGACTTTGAACTTTCTGAATGATAATAGAGATTCCAGGATCATTTTGAACTCTGCCACCTGCATAGGGATCTGAAGGTTTGCAGAAAATCAATATGGAATTAAAATTAGACTGCTTCTTCACTGGGCGAGTAATCAGGCAGCAAACTTCCCCAGTTCTGAGGAAGATACACCAGACTCGAAATGTTAACTCTGATTATTTTCTTCACAGATGCTGCCAGACCTGCTGAGCTTCCAGCAACTTCTGGTTTTGATCCTGATTTACAGCATCTGCAGTTTTTTCAGTTTCTATTCAAAATGCCCCTACCTAATTTTAATTTTATGGAGTGAAGTTTGATTTTCTATTACCTTGTACTTGCCCTGATCACATCCACAGTACGTGCTTTCCATTGTGTAGCTCCTTGTAACACCAATCTCTCGCCAGACAACAACCCGTGCTGTGGATTCCTTGGACTTCTCCACCACAAAACTACAGCTGCTCATGCAGAACGCTGGAGCAATTTGATTCAGTACCTTTGGCAGAGTCTAAATAGTCAAAACACCAAGAAAAATATGTCATAAAATTGAGCTCCACAAAGCAAAGTAACATTTGGGTTTCATCTGACTTCTACAATCCCTTATAGAAAAGTAAACTCTATAATTAGTAACTAAAACTATATATTTAAGTAGAATAAGCATGTTGAATTTACTAGTACACAAGCAGATTACCCCAATGTTGTCACTGGAAGATTCTGACCATGGCAATGTCCTTCTACACAGAGATGGAAAACTAAGGATAGAACTGTTCCATATTATACTCAACCTTTACTGAATAGGGATGGCTACCCCAATTCCTACAAACAGAGCTCTTCCTATGGCCTTAGCTGGAAAATGGCTATAGGAAAACTCCAGAGAGAGAAAAGGAAAAGTCAAATGTTTGATCAAAAATGTTTGTTAAAGATATCATAAAAAATTTGTGAAAAAAATTTGTAAAAATGCTGGGGTTGAAGTATGTCCAAATCCATAATTCTTTGCTTCGTTTCACATTGTCTATCTTCATCAACTTTCAAGTAGGAAACACAGAAACAAGTAAAAACCAAACATTCAAATTCCAGTACAGTAATAATACTTAAATGTTTATGAGAACCTTTATATGACTATAATTTTTCACTAATCAGTTAGTACTCAATAATGCCTCACCAAGTCATTAAAAATACAAGCACCACAAGTATCTGGGATGTATTTGGCTGCGTGTTTTTAAAGTTGAAGAAAAATTATCTTAATTGAAGTATAAACTTTTATGGATTTCGCATAATTAAAGTTTGATGAAAGCAGCATCCTTTAGCATTGTTGTTGGTCTTTCTGACTATGCCCACCATCTGGTGTGTTTGATAGGATTCGACTGTATACGTACATGATGTTAAGTAAATCTACAATCAAGAAGCGTTTGCTGCAAACAGGATACTGCAGACTAACAGGTTCTGGATGGGCTATTAGTACCAGAATTTACTCCCCGTCCCCACCTCACTTTTTGTGGTAGCATTTGAGGTCAAAACATTGAATGATTTCAAGAAGAAGTTAGATATAGTTCTTAGGGCTAAAGGGATCAAAGGGTATTGAGAAAATTTGGGAACATGGTACGGAGTTGATGATCAGCCATGATCCTATTGAACAGTTGAATGGCCTACTCCTGCTTTGAATTTCTATGTTTCTATACTCAACATAATTCAGGACACACACGTACGTGTAAGCAATAAGATTATGGATTAAATCATGGGAGAAACATGGCAGCTTGATCTACTTAATGATGGGGGAGGTCCCACTTTGGTCCCCCAGAGGTATCAATTCTCCTCTGATGAAGTTGGAGGGTGGAAGCAGCAAACACTGGTTTCTCAGCCATTGCTGGCAAGATGTCAATAAGGATAATTCATGAGACAATTGACACCCATTATCCCAAATTCCATTGCAGTGTAGTGGCGGCTTAGGAATTAAATGGAGACTGCATAGCTTTCCCAAAAACTTAGAAGGTTTCTCAGCAAATGTGACGGTGGTTATGCATGGGTGTGTCTTCACTATCAGACACCATGCCTCATAGGAAGAGGGGGGACATTCTAAGCCATCCCTTCACTGCTCTTGCCCTCCAACGTCAGGCCACCACCACTCCAAACACCCCAGCTCCCTGTGATCCCATATTCACCTCTGGTCTGAGATCTTTTGTTGATCCTGGGCCTTTGATATATGCATTGCCACTAGTTGCCACCGCCCCTGGCTCCGGCAGCATGAGGATCTTAACTGCATTGACAGCCCAACAGTGGCTGCCCAGCAGTAAAAGGAACTTGACTCCTTCGTTGGGCTTTCCCCACCTAATTGATGGGGATTCCCACAAATTTTATGATCAGTTTACAAGGCCCCCAACAACTTGCCAAAATCCCAGCCTTCATGTGAGGGCAAGAGTTCACAGAGCTGGGAACAGGAAGACCTTCAGAAGACTGAAAATCAATATTAGTATTATCTGCCGTCAAAATGTAGACATTCAGGTAACCAACTGTGACGTATTTTAACAACATGGAAGTTATTCAAACACAATTGATTCAAGTACTGCCATATTAGACTTACTATGACCCCCATAACCACGTTCATAATTGAGGCAACAAAGTAGACGCCGCTGCAATATACTTTCTCTCTCAAAATGTGTAAAGATTGACGACTGGTTAGTGCAGAAGATGAATACAATACCAATACAATGTGTATGCTGACAATAGATAATTACAAAAAGAAGCAAACCAAAAGATTATTATTACAGCTTAACGGTAATAGTAAAAATAGTCATTTTTTAAGGCAGGACAACAAACTTTGTTTTAACATTAATATTTAATTTCAGTGCTACCAACGACTCTAATTACTTGTCACTGAAAGCTTTATAAAGTAATGTTTAAGTTGGATGGAGTGAATACTCACCCGATATCCAAGGTCTTCCTGCAGATCACAAGAAGCAGCACTAACGTCAGTTTGCCACACTGTCTCCTTTATACTGCACCCATACATGAAGACATTTTTCTTCCGTGAGTGACCATGATAATCACAAAAGACCTATTTAAAAAGGTGAACATTAAAAATTTTTGTCTGCTTATAACCTGACCTGTATTCACACTTTTCAAGAGTCAGCATTTTTCATTATAAATGAATAGGCTCATATTATGATGGAACAGTCCAATGTAAATCAGTCACATTATAATTACAAAATTTAACCTATTGGTAGCCAAAGTTTTCAAATGCAGTTTGGATGCAATTCTTGCTTCTTTTGAAAATTATTTCTATTGAAAGGTATGTTTGTTTCACATTTTTGGCTTTAATTTACTAATTTATTTTGCTATTTAGGTGCTAGATGAATAAATTCACCGTCCCCTCAAGGTCCCTACAGTACATTTCTCTCACTGTTACTACAAATCCTTCCAAGGCAATCTTGCCACTTGTATTGCCTGAACAATCGATTATGTCAGCAGCTTCAGTGGCTTCTAAGACTGTAACAGTGCAACATTCTCCCTAGCCACTGGCTCAAAAGCACCATAATCTGGGTTTCCTCTTACTCAGGGTAAACAAGAGGGTAACATATTAGAGATAGCAAGAACTGTTGGAGTCAGAGACAATACAGTGTGGAGTTGGAGGAACACAGCAGGTTTAGCAACTTCAGAGGAGCAGGAAAATTGACATTTCGGGTTGGGACCCTTCTTCAGCTTGGATAGAAGATGGACTGGCTGGTGGAAAACAGACATCATTCATAAATGTGTTTTTGTCTCCCACAGGAGTCTGTGATGGGGCTTCAGCATTTTACAGTTTATATCAATGACTTAGAAAATGGGAACAAAGGCATGGTAACTAAATTTGCAGATAACACCAGTATAGGTAGGAAAGTGTGTTGTGAAGAAGACATAAGAAAATAGCAGAAAGAAAAAGATAGGTTGAGTAATTTTGGCAGATGGAGTATCATGAGGGAAAATGTGAAATTTTTTACTTTGGCAGTAAGAATAAAAAAACCCATATTGCTTACATGGAGAAAGACTGCGGAATTCTGAGATTCAGATGGATTTAGCTGTTCTGGTGCATGAATCACAAAATGTTACTATGTAGCTACAGTGAATAATAAAGTTCTGAGGATACGGGTTTGAATCCTACCATGGCAGATTTTTTTTATTCATTAATGGGATGAGGGCAGTGCTGGCTAGGCAGCATTTATTGCCCATCCCTAATTGCTCAGAGGACAGTCAGAGTCAAATACATTACTGTGGGTCTGGAGTCACATGTAGGCCAGACCAGGTAAGGATGGCAGTTTCCTTCCCTAAAGGACATAAGTGAACCAGATGGGTTTTTCTGACAATCGACAATGGATTCATGGTCATCATTAGATTCTTAATTCCAGATATTTTTATTGAATTTAAATTCCACCAGCTGCCATGTCGTGATTTGAACCTGGGTCCCCAGAACATTATTTGAGTCTCTGGATTAATAGTCCAGCGATAATACCACTAGGCCATCAACAAAGTCTGGAATTAAGGATCTACTAATCACCATGAAATCATTGTCGATTGTCGGAAAAACCTATCTGGTTCACTAACGTCCTTCAGCGAAGGAAATCTGCCATCCTTACCTGGTCTGGCCTACGTGACTCCAGACCCACAGCAATGTGGTTGACTCTCAAATCCTCTGAAATGGCCCAGCATGCCATTCAGTTTTACGTCTTGCTACAAAGTCTCAAAGAAATGAAATCAGACGTATCAACCTAGGCACCAGAAAAGACAACGGCACAAACAGCCCTGTTGACCCTACAAAGTCCTCCTCACTAACATCTGGGGGCTGGTGCCAAAATTGGGAGTGCTGTTTCACAGACCAGTCAAGCAACAGCCTGACATAGTCATACTCAAAGAATCATACCTTACAGACAATGTCCCGGACACTACCATCCTGGATATGTTCTGTCCCACCAGCAAGACAGACCCAGCTGAGATAGTAGCACGGTGGTATACATTAGGGAGGGAATTGCTCTGTGACTCCTCAGCATTGACTCTGGACCCCATGAAGTCTCATGGCTTCAGGTTAAACATGGGGCAAGGAAAACTCCTGCTGATTACCACATACCATCCTCTCTCAGCTGATGAATCAGTTCTCCTCCATGATGAACAACATTTGGAAGAATAACTGAGGATGGCAAGTGCACAAAATTTACTCTGGATGGGGGATTTCAATGTCCATCACCAAGAATGGCTCGGCTGCAGTACTACAGATCGAGCTGGTCTGGTCCTAAAAGCCATAGCTGCTAGGCTGGGTCTGCGGCAGGTGGTGAGGAAATCAACAAGCGGGAAAAAAATACTTGACCTCATCCTTACCAATCTGCCAGATGCAGTTGCATCTGTCCATGACAGTATCAATAAGAGTGACCATCGGACACCCTTGTGGAGATGAAGTCCTACCATCACACTGAGAATAACTTCCATCGTGCTGCGTGCCACAATCACTGTGCTAAATTGAACGGACTACGCAGAGATCTAGCAACTCAAGATCGGGCATCCATGAGGCACTGTAGGCCATCAACAGCAGCAGAGTTGTACTCCAGCACAATCTGTAACCACATGGCCCGGCATATTCTCCACTCAACCATTACCATCAAGATAGGGGATTAAGCCTGGATTAATGGGGAGTGCAAGAGGGCATGCCAGGAGCAGAACCAGGCATACCTGAAGATGAGATGTCATCCTGGTGAAGCCACCAAACAGGACTACTTGCATGCCAAGCAGCAAGTGATGGACAGAGCTAAGCAATCCCACAACTATTGGATCATATCTAAGCTCTGCAGTCCTGCCACTTCCAGTTGTGAATGGTTGTGGGCAATTAAACAACTCACTAGAGGAGGCGGCTCCACAAATATCCCCATCCTCAATGATGGAAGAGACCAGCACATCAGTGCAAAAGATAAGGCTGAAGCATTCGCAGCAATCTTCAACCAGAAATGCTGGGTGGATAATCCATCTCGGCCTCCTCCAGTGGTTCCCAGCATTACAGATACCTGTCTTCAGCCAATTCGAATCACTCGATGTGATACTGCAAAGACTACAGGCCCTGACAACATTCCGGCAATAGCACTGAAGACTCGTGCTCCAGAACTTGCTGCTCCCCTAGCCAAGCTGTTCCATTACAGTTACAATGCTGGTAACTACCCAGCAATGTGGAAAATTGCCCAAGTATGTCCTGTACACAAAATCCAACCCGCCCCCATCAGTCCACTGTAAATCATCAGTCAAAAGTGACGGAAGGTGTCATCAACAGTCCTACCAAGTAGTACCTGCTCAGCAATAACTTGCTCAGCGACGCCCAGTTTGGGTTCTGCCAGGGCCACTTAGCTCCTGATCTCAATACAGCCTTGGTTCAAACATGGACAAAAGAGCTGAATTCCAGAGGTGAAGTGAGAGTAACAGCCCTTGACTTCAAGGCTGCATTCGACCGGAGTGTGGCATCAAGGAGCCCTAGCAAAACTGGAAACAATGGGTATTAGGGGGCAAACTCTCCAGTGGTTGAAGTCATATCTGACACAATAGGAAGATGGTCGTGGTTGTTGGAGGTCAATCATCTCAGCTCCAGGACATCTCTGCAGGAGTTCCTCAGGGTAGTGTCCTCAGCCCAACAATCTTCAGCTCCTTTATCAATGACCTTCCCTCCATCATAAGGTGGAAAGTGGGGATGCTCACTGATGATTGCACAATGTTCAACACCATTCGTGACTCCTCAGATACTGAAGCAGTCCACGTTCAAATGCAACAAGATCTGGACAATATCCAGGCTTGGGCTGACAAGTAGCAAGTATCATTCGCACCACACAAATGTCAGGCTATGACCATCACCAATAAGAGATGATCTAACCACCACTCTTTGACATTCCAATATCATCGTTTCTTCGCTGTTGCTGGGTCAAGATCCTGGAATTCCCTCCCTATTGGCATTGTGGGTCAACCCACAGCAGGTGGACTGCAGTGGTTCAAGAAGGCAGCTCACCACCACCTTCTCAAAGGCAACTAGGGACGAGCAAGAAATGCTGGCCAGCCAGCGACGCCCAAATTGCAATAATGAATAGAAGAAAAAAGGCTAATGAATGTCATCCTTTATTATGACAGGAGTTGAATGTAAAAGTGAGATGTTATGCTTCAGTTATAAGGGCATTTGTGAAACCACAACTCGAATAGTGTGTACAATTTTGTTCTCCTTATTTAAAGATAGATGCAAATACATTGGAGGCTGTTCAGTTGGCTGATACCTGGAATGAGTGAGTTGTTTCATCAGGATACATTGAACAGGCTGGGCTTGTTTCTATTGGAGTTTAGGAGAGTGAGGGATGACTTGATTGAATTGCATAAAATCCTGAATGGTCCTGATAAGTTGGACGTACAAAAGATATTTCCTGTTGTAGGTCAGTCCAAACTAAGGGCCACAATTTTAAAATGAAGGATTGTTCTTTCAGAATTGATGAGGATACCCGAGCAACTGGGTCAGAAGATGCCTATTACATGGATGACACCAGGAAGATATGACACACCCCAACAAACTCATCATTCTACCTTACATCAAGAACACATTTGAACTGACCACAAGACTCCTACAACTACTGGCCATCAGAGTAGCACACAAACCCACATCAACCCTATGCCAACTCTTAACCCGAACCAATGACCCGTTACCCAATATGGGCAGGACCAACGTCATATACAAGATCCCCTGCAAAGACTGCAACAAACATTACATTGGTCAGACAGGAAGAAAATTAGCCACAAGAGTACACGAACATCAACTGGCAACAACAAGACATGACCAATATTCAATCATTTCCACTCACATGGATAAGGAAAACCATCTTATTGCCACTGGGGAGGTGATGGCCTAGTGGTATTATCATTGGACTGTTAATCCAGAGGGCCAGATAATGTTCTGGGGACTCAGGTTCGAATCCCGCCACGGCAGATGGTGGAATTTGAATTCAATAAATATCTGGAATTAAGAAACGAATGATAACCATGAATCCATTGTCGATTGAAACCAGTTTGATTGCA